CTGATTGCTTGGTTAGATCAGCCTAGCTCAGTGCCTTGCATCTTTGCAGATTTTGTCATACACTTCTGGAAAGGCATCCTTGCAATTCATCTCCTCCCTCAGCTTGTGGTACAACGAGCCATCAAACATGTCCCAGAACTCCTCACGGGTCATATAGCAATCTGCATACAGCATCTGGAAACTGGGGAGGAGGGGGAAAAACAGACAGAAATTCAAGATAATGTTACTTGTGCCACAAGATTTGAAATCGAATATGAAAGAAAAATTCAAGGCAAGCTATGAAGAGCAAATATTCCGCAAAAAAAAACCCCCATCAAAGATGCTTTTCAAACCAAGCAATTATAATTGCTCACATGGATTACATCAGGACTCTCAGCCAAATATATTTTGTGGCTTTACCACTACCATGATCTCTTTTCCAAGAGGAATTGACATGTAAGAGTGAAAAAAAAAAGACTGAAAGCAAGATACTGCTACAGCCATTTTGGTGAAGGGTAAGATGGGAAAAGAAAGCAATTAAAGTAGTTGTTGCTTGTAAAATACAGTACAGAACACTTCTTTATAGCCACCAATGTATTGATATTTTCATTAGCTTTGCTACTGCAAAGAGAAAATGAGAAGGACTAAAATGTGTGTAAAACAGTGGCTCATGTTTAGCCATCCTAACCATGTGCTGCCAAATCCTCTGGCAACTTGTATTCTATCAACTTGTGTTCACAGAGACAGAAGTCTAGAGAGAGCTTCAAGAGTTCCCCCAAACCTAGAGTTCAGCCCCTTGTACTGAAAACCACACACAACCTGAATTCTCCCTGACAAATACTTTTCTAACTGCTCTTGAAAGCTTAATTTTCTTTTTCTTCCATTCAAAACATTTTGATTTCAGCCTCAAAGAAAAAGGAAGTATTTTTCCTGCATGTTTTCTTATGTGGAGGTACAGTCATGGCATCTCATGTTAGCCTGTGTTACAAAATCCATTCAAGACAGATGTAGCAATACATCCTTTGACTCTTTAGCTTCTTTGGACTGAATATTGAGAATAAAACTAGGAAGGCTATTGAGAGCAGAACAACCTGGCTGAGGCTGAGAGGAAAGCAGGCTGAGAAGATACATTCATAGTTTAAACAAAGCACAGAGTGACAAAGGTCCATTTAACAAAACAAATTAAATCCTTCTTTAGCTGTGGACTCAGTTCCTCACTTCCATCCTGTGCTCTCTAAACTGCAGCTAGCACCAGAGTGCAGCAGCAAAACACAGACATACATAAAAGCTCTATTGTGTGTGATTACAAAATTTTAAGACCATGCATTTATCCATTGTTCATTTCCCAGTGACAGGTAGAAAACAGACAAAACTTTGTTAGTAAAGAGCTTTAAACTAAAAGCTTAATTCCAAGTTAATTAACAAAAGCTTCAAATTAACTTTGGGTTGCTTTGTTCTCTGGCAGATCTCTTTCTGCAGCTCAAAGTCATTTACACTCCCCAAATCATCTCAAAGCAGCCTCACCATTGCTGCTCAGCCACATGGGACATGATCACTGTTAGACTGAGAAGTAGGTCAGAATAGAAATGTGGATAAATTATAGTGATGGTGTAAAAATACTGTGTATTGCTTTTTGTTCCTGAGAAACCAGCCTGGAACTGCTTCTCCACTGACACTACTACAGCACATTAGGCTGGCATGAGTCCCTGACAGATGGTGGGCACATGCCTCACGCCTACTGTGGTCCTGTGTAATAAGAATCTGGGCAGGGAAAAGAAAGCTCTGGAGTACTAGTTTTGAGAGAGGAAAGACTCCCAGCACCACACAGGGACAGCAGGGAGAGCCAGGGCTGAGCTCCCTGCACAAGGACACCCCAGCACAAGGACAGGGCAGAGGCACAGTGTGATGCTGCAGGGAGAACAGTCCCAAGGGCAAGCAGGGAAGCTGTCCAAACTTTTATCAGCTTGTGGGATTCCTGAAGGATGTATTCCATGGATGTATTTTGTTGCAGCAGACCCTGAGCAGCCTGGAACTGAAAGGTGACCCAAAGCCACCCAGCTCCCAGATACACTGCAAGAACTTCAGCCAGTGGTGGCTCTTTGGTTGGTTTTGCAATCAAATAATAAGTTGAAATAATATTTAAAACTCATAACACCAAAACTAGAAATTTAAATAGTTTTTTGTTATGGTGGTTGCAAAACTACTGCAAAATTAAAGTGCTGTGTGATTAAATAACTGTGATGAAACCATACAGGTGATTAAACCACCTCAGGCATCTGAGGAGTGAGATCCTTACCCATGCACACTTCTTACAAACTTTTCCATTTGCCTCATGGAAGCCCTGGCTTCAAATTGTTTCCTTTTGGGCTCTCCATAAGCTCCTATGTCCACGTAGAGTTCTGCTTCATCTCCTTTGGGATGGACCATACCAGGATTATTGGGCAATATGAAAGGACATAACCAAATAGGGTACACCTGCAGAGGTAGGAAAACACTTCATCACTTATTTTTGACACAACAGTCCTTTAAGCTCTGTAATAAATGTGACAAAATGAAGAGTTAGAAAGACTTCTTCCCCATCTGGGATGGAAACTCTTCAATTCTTCCTTTCCAGTTGTCCTGGTGTGGTGCTTAGCTGCACTTTCTAGGAGCCATAACACAAATACAAACAGACTGAGAGTGTCCTTCTAGACTTACATCCCCTCTCTCATAATATTTGAAATGAAAAGAAGAAAACCAACCAAACAACCCATCCCTGATCCCAAAGCAACAAATGAAAAAACATTTGGAGTAAAAAGAGAATGAAGAGTTTTCTTTTCCAGGTCAGTCCACAATTGAAATTTGTACTTCTTATACTAACTGAAATAAATTCAGAAATAAAGGCAAGAGAGGGAAATGAATCCCCACAGTTGGTGTTTAGGGAGACCAAGAGTCATTTTAGGTGAAAGAAAAATCAGTTTGGCTTTTACTAAGTGATCAAAGCTGGCTGTGTTAATTTCTGCTGCAGCCTTGCTTCATGGGCTCACAAAGCACAGGACTCCTCAGGACACAATAACAACCTTTAACACAAGCAGAAGATTATGTCTTGACATCAACAGTCACAGTTCTTATCATTAACAGTCCAAGATTTTCTGCATTCTAAAAACACATGTTCTTACATTGAGGTCAACATGGAAGGTCTGGATGGATTTTTCAAGGCTCTTCATTGGCACCAACATGTCCTGCACAACGTGGTGCTGCTCGTACAGCTTTCGAATCGCTTCTCCTTGTGTGAGTTTTAGTAAAGAGATTTTGGGAGGAACCATCCAGCCAAAGAGGTAACGGAAGACAGGGTTATTGCCAAAGGGAATGATGTCCTTTAAAAGGGAAAGAAAAAAGGTGTGACTGAAGAACATGTCAGTGAACCAAAGGGCAGGACTACAGAAGCCTCAGAGCAACATTAAGCCACATTTTCAATAAATTTAACTGCTGATACTCTTGCTAAACTACTTTAACACCTAGATGAGGAAGTAAGAGGGGCCTGGACTGAACTTGGTTCCTAAGCCCTGCCCTAAGCCTCCTTCAGTTACCTCTGATATTCAGTCATATGAATCATAACATACTCAGCCCCAAATGTCATGAGAGAATGAAGTTCAGACAACAACAGGCTACTATCTTACAACAGCTAAGGGAGGAATGCACAAGAAGCTACACTTACAAAACTCTTGCAAGAATATACACATAAAAGTTCATAAAAGCATTTTAAAGCTGTAAAATTTTGATTACTGCTTGCACAGCCAACTCGCATTAAATTTCCCTGGGAGCTGAGAAGATCTGGTATCTTACTCTAGAGATTCAAGATGTAGCAACAGGAATATTTCGGAATGTCAAATAAAGTTTTGCATAACTGCACACCACAATAAACACATTTATGAAGTTGAGAGTAATAGCCTGAATACGTAATTACTACTCTGAGTTTAGCCTTGGCAGTTTTTCAGCCATGATTTCACATTCATGTTTATTTCACCATCTGAATTTGAAAATCACTCAGTAGGTGTGTAAGTTTAATGCTGGAACATGTACTTGAGGTCTAAGTTCAGAAAAGCACTAAAGCAGAAATTAGCAGTTTATGATACAACATCTTACAGATAAAGAAGTGCCTTTGGATTTGCTTTGCCCAAATGCAGGACTTGTATATTTGCCATGAACGTCACTGTTTTTTTCTGCCATGAAACACAGAAGTTGTTGCCAAGGGGAAGAAGGCACATTGTACCTACACTGGGAAGAAAGTGCAGAGCCCCTTCCTACAGATGTTAGTTTAATTTTGGAACTGGTCTTACTTGGAGCTCCCAGAAGATACTGCGTGTGTGCCTGTGGTAGTAATGTCTGGAAGGAATGTATTCTATTCCAGTCTTGTCAGCTTTCAGATATGTCTCCACATGCTTGAAGAACCATGGCTTGTAGTAGTTGCCAATTTTGTTTATCTACAAGAGAACATGCATCATTAGATAAGTTAAACCTTGCTAGACAACACTGAGTATGTCCCCAAATTCCTGTACTGTGAGGAATCTATGCAATACCCTCTGTGACAGTGTGGATGAGACTGTCACAAGAGACCTAGGGAGTCTTCACTCTCCACCTGCATGGCTCCTTCTTACCCTTCCTGCATTAAGGTTTAATCTCAGAAAGGCCTGCTGAGGTTTGCCT